GAGAAAAATTAAGAATAGATGTTAGTGCTAATTTAGGCATATATTTGCTAGTATACCACCGTGATAATGTCTGATGAACATTTTTACAACACATTGAACTCAATAGCCAGGCCTCTTACACTGCAATATACAACAATAGTAATGAGAAGAACACCAAACATGAATATCCAAACTGTAATCCAATTATTTAAGACTCCGCTGGAAGTCAAATGCAATATTAACTATTACAGTTTCAGAATGCGAAGTATATATCATATGGAAGCTTCGAGTTCATCAGCTGTTATGGCTGCTCCATTCGGTTCATCATCTGCACGAAGTTGAGCTGAAACATCATCTATGGCAGAATTCAGCTGGGCAATCTTTTCAGTTAGTATCTTGCGAGTCCTCTGTTCCAAATAAACACAAGTAAAACTGATAATCTTTGTCAATAGAAATCATAGCACATACAAAATTCCTATTGATTAAGGATGTAATAGCACAAAGAATCTTTGCTCCACTTCCTTTTCTTTTTAGCTATTCCTTACATATCAAATTATATACATATCAAATAACCATCCTATCCTATATTAATATCCAAAGCAACCACCATCACACTATAATCACCTTCAGAAGTATTAATGGGTTCGATAATGTCATTAAGCAGGTTTTATTTTGGCTCATAAGGGAATAAAGGTAAGGTCCCAAGTTTGAGGGTTCCTTAAAGTTTGTCCCCAATCTAACAAGGCCCATTCAGGGAATTATACTTTTTGTTATTATTTTCATCTTACGTGTTTTCCAAGCCAACTTGCCAAACAACATTTTGCATGAGGACTAATGAGGTGTTTGAGACTTAAGGTTTGTTTGAGCCCCATTTTAGGGAAAATAGATTTCGTAATAGTGATTTTTTTGGATATGTGTGATTAAAAAGCTGGAAAAAGTTTTGAGTTTGCATTTCAAATTATTTTACTGGGAGAAAGTGGTTGAAAACGAGTTCGGGAAAAATTTGTTTTTTAAGAATGAGGCTCAAACAGTAGCTTAATACAGCTTTGCTAAAGGCTAAATCAATTTCTAACACTAACATCTAGTGGACTATACAGTGGGTGGGCATACATTGCATCAGAACTGATTCGCAGGATAAGTGTATTTCATCAATACCAATACAATGTCAACAGTATACATCAGGCAAAGGACCTTACTGTCTACGACACTATCCACCAACAAAAAGTGAAAGGGAAAAAAGATTTATTAAACAGTGGAGCATCACAAAAGCAGATCTAGATTATTGTAAATGGTGGTCAGAATCATCCCATTGAATACTTCAGCAATGCTTTAGCAAACATGTTTGAGAAGTACAAGCATGCAGAGATAAGATTTTCATGCTCTGGAGGCTGATCAAAGCCATCCATAAGCATGAATCATCCGAAGCCCAAAAATAAAATAATGGGGTTGATCCTTTCAGGATGACATCAGTGGAAGAAGTCCTCATACCAACCTTTCATTTTTTGCCAATCATCGTTGCCTAAGAACTAGTGTTCTAAAAGGCAGGGACCTGGGCATGAAGAGTCTCACGCCTTCTTACTTTTTAAGTTAAATAAACTCATTAAAAAAAAGAATTATTATTAATAATCTTCGAAAAATTAAAATAATATCAAAAATAAGAAAACATCTGTTGTGAACTAACAAAACTTAGGATATGTTTGGGATAGCTTCTGATCTAACTTTTTCTTTTTGTATAAAAGCTTATTGAGAAAGTCACCCTGTCAGCTTCCTCTAAAAGCTCTTCTAACCAAGCAAAGCATTTTTAGAAAATTATCTAAATAATCCAAAAGCAATTTCCTAAACTCAAAAACAGTTTTTAGCTTTATAAACCCCTGCCCAAGAAGACATTAGAAAACCAGGACTACAGAGAGCTAATCACCGTGTTTATTTCACTGACATGATGATTATTTTGTTTTGGTTTTCTGTCTTCTTTAGCTTCTACTTGGAAGTTCCCTTGCCTCTTTCTTCTTTTTGTCACGAGAGTAGTAGTGTTGCACACAGGGCTCATTGTACCTACTGAAATAATAGGAAGCTCCGGCAGAAGGAGTATTGATTCAAAACACAGGTTAGAAGGATAAGGAGAAACGTTGGCAGGCAGATACAAGAGGATCAAGTTAAACATGCTTCAGTGTATGCTACTATCTAAGTGGGCAAGCTTATACATGTTAATTATTTTGATTTATTTGGATATAAAGAATACGAACTCTTTTATCCGCAGAGTAATAAATTGAAACAACCAAAACAAAAGATGCATGGGTCATGGATAGCCTTTATACAAAAAACAAAGAAACACTAATTCACTCCAATGGAGAGAGATTTATTTTGCACTCTACATGGCCTAACATCAGAATGAAATTGTGACACAAAGCTTGTCCCTCGTATTTAAAAAAAAATTCAAGCAATCAAGCAGAGACATTTCTAGAGCAAGTTCTCACCTCCAAAGCTTTCTCTTCATCATATATAAATTTTGGGAGCTTTCTCATCAGATCTTTTCTATCTGCTCCTGCTAGTGCCTTGCTTATCTGCAAGATAATATAATATCATCATAATATACAACCTATTGAATTGTTCAGCAGATTAGAGCCCAGAAGCACAGTGAATAGATAAAGCCAGCTAATACACAAATATTTGTCCTCATCAAGAAATTATTCATATGATAACTGTCACGTTTGGACATATTGTTAGAAGATGAGAGTAAACCAACCTCTACTGTTTCTGAGGATGGTCTCATATCCCACACCCCATCCTCCGATATCCCATAATATTCAACTTTATGACACAGATAGGAAGAGAACTTCTGACTCAATGAACCAAAAACTAGGTAATATTTCAATACCTGAGGAGCATATATGCAACCCAATGCTCCAACAACAAGCCCTCCCAGTACAAAGCCACCAACAAAGATACTCGTGCTACCAGATCCTCTGCCATCCCCACTGTGCTAAGATGGAAAAGCTGCTAATTTTAACTAAGAATAGAAGAGAAAATCACGACACAACTAGAAGTGACTGTATAAATGCTGGCAAGAGGTAACAATTAGATCAATGCAGAAGGACACAGCCAGGTGACACCGAGCTAACATCTTCATGACAAAATTCTCAAGATATCTTTATGGGAAGCACTTGTTTAACATTTTTCTTGGATAGTGACTAGATTCTACTGAGTAAAAAAATCCTTAAGATATGAAACAACACAACAAATATTATCAAAATAAACTAATAAATTCTTTAATACCAGTGTCAAATAGCAGTGCCAATCTCATAATAATAGAAATCATTATGGCATGAAGTATTTTATAACAAGGAAATGTTATTTGGGAACATATCAGGTAGCGGTAGTAGTTCAGAAAATGTATTTGGGCCAGAATCCATATAAAAGAAAACCAAAAAAATGATAGAAAATAGATACAGAACTTGAAGCAGCACACAGCTTATGGAACACATTTATACTAAACATGTATATATATTTACAAGTTAAATGCATTCTAGTGTATAATTTTAGTGGCATTGCTCCCCGGTCATAACAGATTATTGAGAACTTAAGATAATTTAATGCTTAATTCAACCCAAACTAAACAAGAAGGTATTGGTTACGTATACATTGATACCTAGCTTGAATTATTAATGACCTCCTGCACTTCAAAGTTTTTGTGCTTCTCTGAGAGGTATGGATGAAGGCTAAATTATTGGAACCAAGACATTCATCCACTTGCACCAGAGAAGTACCTAGCATCATACATTTGGCATTAATGAAATAAAAATCTGGAAATCCAACAAAAATATGCATAGAAACTTTTACAAGTATGTCAAATAGAAGATGTGGAATCTTAATTGAATACTATACAACGAGAATTGCATAAACCAAGGTGTAACTACATAGCACAGATGCACAGTAATTTTCACACAAGACAATAGTTAGAAAATGTAATTCTATAAATCAACCCTTTCCATGAGCCTAGAAAAGAAAGGTAGTTGGATAAACACGCAGAAAGACACTTGTACCAGGAGAAATACACGTTGAATTTCATTATAAAGGATGAAAATCCTCAAGCGTAATTCCTAATTATGACATGTTTCACAACTTAACTTCATTAAGATGTTCCCAGTAAGCTGCTTTAATAACATGCAAGGAACAATGTAGTGAAGTGAATGTTTTAAAGCTGTTCCAAGAATGTGTGATTTACAATTGACATAATTAAACTTGATATGGCCTATATATGCCTTCAAAGGCATCCATGCTATATGAAACTCAATAAGCTGAATTTAGCTCCATAGAATTCACGCAGTAGGGATTTGGAAAGAAAATGGTCAGATCTTAAACAATTTCTCTCTTCATTTCAAATACCAAGCTTCAAATCCATGATACCAAACCCATTATTGGGACTGTTTGACAGCATAATTGACTCTTTAGATTTTAGTATCATAAATGAAGTTCAAATTAAATACAGCGTAAGATCTAACAAGGGGGCAAGATATCAATTACTTAGAACCGCATTACTTAATTTCAACCGGCTAAACTCATTATAGCACTCAGGGAAACCAATTTACATCAACTTCTTAATTGTGAACAATTGCGTAGTCGTCAGAAATAAATAATCAAAATTACCACAACATTACTTTAGAAATTTAATCACAATTAAAAAGCCTAATCTAATCGAACTAAAACAAAGTTTATCAAACATAATCATCATTTGCATCATTGCATGACCAATTATATAAGTGAATACTTAGGAACGAAGTTTGTGGACTCCGAACAGATACGAGAGCATTCATCTTTCAAATGTCAACTCTGCCTGCGTTTGCGTGTGCGCGTGCGTGTGCGTGAAAACTGATGGAAGACAAGCTTCGGACAGGTGGAAGGAATAAAGAATGGACTGATATAGTTGGGCTTGATTTGCAGGCCCATGATTGGGGTTTTATTGCGGGAAGAACTCGTACAAAGGGTTCATATTACCGATTCAAAAATAAGAAACTTGTGGAAAAAAAAAAAAAAAATTACATTCACAAATTGTATAAGGTTACAATCATAATGAAACAAATTATGAGATACAATCATACATTTTTCTGGGTCACATATTATTTATTGACCACAAATTACCCATTTTATCGATTACATATTATTTACTAATTATATATTATTCATTTTATTGGTTACAACCACCCAATTAATTTATCATAAATGTTTTTCATCCCACTTCTCCACCGCCGCCGTCGCCAACAACAACAACAACAATTACCATTTGCAAATTGACCTCTGATTTGAAATTGCAAGTAGAGGTATGCAATTTCAAATTTTTGTAATACAGACCCTGCTTTTGACTCACCGTCGACAACAACTTTAACTTTGAAAAGCTCCTTGAGCAACGTTAACTTTGAGAAGCTCCTCTTATATTAAGAGATGCAACTTAACTAATACAATTATTACTATACTTTAAGCAATCCACTCATTTGAAAAATAAAAGTTTTTTTATATAGTCTAAAGTTCAATAACCATTTTGGTCTTTCTGACAAACATTTTCTAATAATTTGCATCTCTGTAAATAATTCCTTCCTATCAATATCAAAATCCTTGTCGTGCTTAAAAAAAATACTTCAAGCTTACCAACACTTTAAACAATTATCATATGTTGTTTGCAATTTTTTAAATCAAACAGTAACCCAAAAGTATTTTCATAATTTTGAAATTGTTCAAACATTAACTTTAAGTGAAGAACGAGTTTGATCAACTATATAAAAGATATAATCAACACTAAAAAATAGGATATAGATGTATAATTGAAAATTTGATAAATTTTATGCTTTTAGACCAAAATTGAAAAACAAGAAAAAAATTTAAAAATACAATAAAGAAAAAATAAATACAAGAGTGCATAAAAAATAATTCATTTCAGTATCACTTCAAGGACCGTAAACGTAAGCTAGAGAATTTGTAGAGGGTTTGATTTGAGGATGAGGAATTGATGATAACTACACAACCAAAAGAAATAAATTAACAAACAAAGGGAAAAAAAATGAATAATCACTCTAAATCGAGAAAAAATAAAATAAAAAATCACGAATATATTAAAATCATTTTTTAGTCTTTTTGAAGAACATAAAATCTTTTTAAAATTTTTACTTTATTATTTATAATGTATAATATGCTTATTTGTGGAATCGATCACCCATCCCGCCTATAATCAGAGTCGTAACTTATTGCTATGATTCACTCTTTCAAATTTTGAATTGAAAACAACGACTTTTATTATAGGCCTCCAACTGTTATACCTCAATTTATATCTCAACCACCTAATTAGTATTTGAAGCTCCATGATTAGCTTTGAGCCCCAATAAAGGGTGTAATAAATTGATGGAGAATGTAAGACTAAGAGGGTATTCGAGAATGAAAAAATGTATTTTAGAATAGTAGAATGATGAGAAATGTGTGGTTGAAAAATAAGAAATTTTTTTTTATTTATGTGTAATATTATTTTAATGAAGAATATGTGATTGAAAAGAAGATACAGAAAAATGTATTGTGAAAAAAATGGAAATCAAACAAAGTCTAAAAAATATGGAAAATTTTTGAAATTACGTGTAATATTATTTTATTGAAAAATGTATAATTGAAAAGAAGATGTAGAAAAATGTATTTTGAAAACAATGGAGATGAAATAAGGGCTTAGCATTAAGTCTCCTTTGAATTTGATTTAAATTTAAGCCCTGTTTAAGTCATATTATTTGAAAAATATATATATATATAATTTTTTTTTAAATAGTGATTTAATATCATTTCAACCACACATTTTTTAATAAAATAATATTACACGTAACTTAATTTATTTTTTTTATTTTTAAATCATGCATTTTTCATCAATCTACTATTTCAAGATACATTTTTAAAAATAATATGGCTCAAACACACACTTAATCAACCAAAGAAAAAAAAAGAAAAAGAAATCAAAATTAATTAATATCAACTCTATGGTCTTCGAATTCGACGAGGTCCAACTATCAACAGGTCTCAATTATTATTTCATGCAAGCGTATCTTACTTGCACACTTGGACATTCACATTATATTGCACAAATTGTAGCTCTGCAAAAAGTGCAATGGTCACAACCATCTGACGCTCAACTTAGATGGTGAAGAATATTGGGCTTGTGAGAGACACAATGAAGGGGGAGTATATGAGTGTTGAGTTTTAGATTTACCTGGCTGTGCAAAATTTACTTTTGAATGAGAGAGAACCAGTATCTATACGTAGTGAAAGGCTTATTTGAGTATTTGACACATGGTCTTATCCTAACAGTTCACTTGTCGTATTCAATTGTGTCGATACATAGTCCTCATGGGCTTGTGGCTTCCATTGCTTGCATATAGGTTTAAGATTTGTAATTTGATTGATGTCATTGCTCCAAAACTATCAATCAAACACTCTGAGCAATGATTTCATGAAGCTTGATTGAGACAAAATTTGCGACAAATGCCTATCACCTCTTTCACGGTGTACCAACTAATTTGTAAATTGCTTTTAATTTTATTCTTATCCACTGGTTATCTTTCTTCTTTATGCAAATAAAGATAACTTGATCGATATATTAGGTTAGTTGACATCGATAGAACATAATGAAGAAAAAGGAAAAAATTATGTTATTCTTGAAAATGTATACAAAGACTGCTGAAAACCGCATTACTTAAATTATTCTCTCTACTCAAGTTTGGCCCATTCTCCGTGTTGACTTTTGGTTTCTTTTGCCGTTTGAGCTTTGGCCCGCACAACCACCCTTTCCTTTTATAATGGAATTGCGGCGGATGTGCCGGGACGTGAATTAAGGCGTTATAAAAAAAGACAGATCTTGTCGTAATTTTTTTACAGTAATTAAGGTTAATAAATAAAGTAGTCCAATTAACAAATTCGCAAGTTATCTTTGGAAGAAAAGGGCTTTAAGTATTAACAGTTTAACGTTACAAAAGAACAAAACCGTGGACTTTCATGGGAAGAAGTTGCTCCAGAACGCATTACCACCGGAGAAGATATTATTATCTTAGTACAACCAAATTATTCTAAACATATAAAATCATCAAATAATCGTTGGTTTGTTGAATGTTTCAAGCAACTACTCTGCGTTGTTTAGTGTTCAAAAACTTTAGGAACGTATTGTTTTGTAACCTTTCAACCTGCCACCAATCGAGGGAAGCTGACTTCTAAAATTTCGGAAGACTCGAGCCTGACGACCCTTTTAGAATCTGAGTTTTTGGGTGGTGTGCGTGAAATTTATGGCAGGTGAAGGCGGTACAGGGGGTGCGTCGAGGCAGCTTGATCAGACACCAACATGGGCAGTTGCTGGTGTATGTGCAGTCATTATACTCATCTCTATTGCCTTGGAAAAGAGTCTTCACAAAGTTGGAACGGTACGAAAAATAAGAACTTTTGATTGCCAAATTTTTGTGTTTTTGTCTTTTTATACTGTTAAATAAGATTTGGGTTTTATTTTCTTGATCTTTATCCAATCAAAGACAAAAGTTGGCCTTTAAGATTTTGGATCAGACGCGTTAAGTTCATTGTTAGATCTACTGAAAGATGTAAATCATTTAGATCGTTGTCTATGCCCCGAGGAAATGTGTACTAGGATTAGACTGTCCTATTATCTCGGAGATTGTTTGACATTGTGAACTTTTATTCAGTGGTTAACAGAGAGGCATAAGAAAGCTCTTTATGAGGCTTTGGAGAAGGTCAAAGCTGGTATTATATCTTTACACCTTGTCTTCCTTTGCTTCGCGGTCCCTCTCCCGGGAAAAAAACGTAACTTCTGTATTTAATCGTGGCAGAGTTGATGATACTTGGTTTCATCTCGTTGATCCTCGTCTTCAGTCAGTATTACATTGCTGGATTCTGCATACCTTATCATGTTGCTGATACTATGTTGCCTTGTCCTCTGAACAACAAAAATGATAAGGAAGCACCTCACCGTAGACTTTTATGGTACGAGCGTAGAGTATTAGCAGGAGGTACAGAGCCTAAGTGCAAGGAGGTACGTATAATTTGCACATTCAAATGAAGCTTTCTTTTGTGAAACTAAATTCAGATTTTTAGTAGATTTTGATAAAAGTTGAAGAAATGTGTGATTGAAAAGTTGTGAGTCCCATAAAATGTATAGTTAAGATAAATTGTTGACTTTGATTTAGATTAAAACCTTGCAATACCAAATAGGGGCATATTGGAATGTAGTGGAGCCTAATCGTATTGTTTACTTATTTTCTCGACTGTGGATTGATCTAGAGATATTATAAGTCTTCATTAACTAATCCGATCCTTCTAACAGGGTCACACAGCGCTTATATCAGTCAACGGGCTGCATCAGATACACATTCTTATATTCTTTTTAGCAGTACTTCATGTGATTTATAGTGCTGTTACTATGGCACTTGGAAGACTGAAGGTAATACAGAATGGTGTAATAATATATGCACTTTGAATTCTGATCTTTCATGCAGTGTCTTGTTGGGTATAATTTTGCTAAAACTATGTTTCACAGATTCGAGGCTGGAAACAATGGGAGCAGGAGACCTCATCACATGATTATGAGTTTTCAAATGGTATTACTCTTTATTTAATTTTAATCTAGCTTGACGTCTAATTTTCTATTTCTTATTCATGGGCAAAGATTCTCATAAAGCTAGCACTGTGACATTATGGAACTTGCAGATCCTTCAAGATTCAGGCTTACTCATGAGACATCTTTTGTGAAATCGCACACGAGTTTTTGGACTAGTATTCCCATCTTCTTTTATATTGTGAGATGTTCCTTCATTCTTGATTTTCTTTGTAAAGTGACATATACATGAAGCTTGAGCTTTTAGATGAGATGGTTTAGTAAAATATTTGACATTTTCATTGTTCAAGTGGTATGCTCTTCAAATCTTCTTACAAACATTTCTTTGTCTCAGGGATGCTTTTTTCGACAATTTTTTAGGTCCGTCAACAAATCCGATTACTTAACCCTTCGCAATGGGTTCATTGCTGTGAGTTTCGACTGCACATGCTTTTGTAGTTTATTTTTTCTCACCCCCTTCTCATTTCATATTCTGCGCTGGTTTCATAGGTTCACTTAGCACCTGGAAGTAAATTTAACTTCCAGAAATATATCAAAAGGTCACTAGAAGATGACTTCAAAACAGTTGTGGGAGTCAGGTAGATTCTTCTTGGTCATTAATTTGTTACAAGAACCTGATTATCTAAGACGCGGGTTGCTCTGCTAATACACATCCCCTCTGGACCTAGATTCTCGGTCAAAATTTGTATCTTATCCATCTTTTTTAATTTTTTATGCTGACAGTCCAGTGTTATGGGGATCATTTGTGGTGTTCTTGCTATTAAATGTTAGTGGTGAGTCACTTTTTCCCTGAAAGTATTTTCACAATTCCCTTTCTATAGGTTACTAGAAAAAGCTTGAACAACAGCTGACAATTTTCCGACAGAGTTACATCAGTATCTATGATGGAACAAAACGTCTGTCAGAAAATCTGTTTGTATTTTTAAAATTCCATGGCTACCAGATTTTGGGCTGAAACCCTTTTCCGAAGTGTTTGTAATGATTGAAACTGTAAATCCTATCTGGAACAGAAATTAACAGCATTTCTTGAACATTATATCCACAACTACAGGGTGGCAGGCATTGTTTTGGGCATCCTTAATTCCTCTATTTGTAAGTGTCCTCAACTGTTGACATTATTTGATGTCCCTAAAGAAAAAAACTCTGATCCTATGATGTTTCTCAGATTATCTTAGCCGTTGGCACGAAACTTCAAGCCATTTTGACACGAATGGCTCTTGAAATAACAGAAAGACATGCAGTGGTACAAGGTATTCCTCTTGTACAAGGATCAGATAAATATTTTTGGTTTGGTCGGCCTCAGTTGGTTCTTCACCTTATCCACTTCGCATTGTTTCAGGTACCAACTAAATATCTTCATTTCGTGCTACTTCTACTTGAATACTCAATTCAACTAGATTCCTGCATGACAAGCCATGTAATTTTGGTTTGTCTTTTTATCTTTTAACTTGCTTTGCTAGGATCACGACATTCATATGAACAAGCGATTTTTCAAGTCCACACAAGACATGTTCCAACCTAAGTCATTCTTAACTTATCCTCATTCCGTGGTATCTCACTAATTATCTTATTTATTCCAATACGGTGGCGCATCCATATTACCATCCTAATGGATATCGAGTGTGCTCATGTTCCAAAACATATCTTGATAAATAAACAAAGAGTTCATCCACTGTGGTGGTTTTGATTCTAACCATTCCATATATAATGGCAGGATTTTTATTTTGTGATATTTATTTCCATTTTTTCATTTTATACTGCTAATATTGGACTAATCAGTGGGTACTAATTTATGCAGAATGCCTTCCAGATTACATACTTTTTATGGATATGGGTAAGGACTCTTCTCTAATCACATCAAAGATGAAGAGTGAATTGTCCTCTACAATATCAATTTACAAAACTCCTGTTGTTTTGTGCAGTATGAATTTGGGCTAAAATCTTGCTTTCATGACAATTTCAAGCTCGTAATTGCAAAAATCGCGTTAGGGTATGCATTTCTTACATAATAGCTTTAGCTCCCTGATAATAGATGTTCAGCTGTGCTGGTTATCACAAATGATTGAGAACTACAAACGGGTCGAAATGCATTATCTTCTTTCTATTCACTAAGTGTTGAATGTTCGTCATGTCACAGGATGGGAGTCCTATTTTTATGCAGCTACATTACACTTCCTCTTTATGCCGTTATAGCTCAGGTATTGTCAGAGCTACAAATTATTGTGCATCCTTCACAATCATGCTATTGAGTTGCACGACCACCTTTTTTAAAAGCTTAAGGAGTTAGCCAAACATTATGAAAATTTAAATACGGTCCATAAGAGACGCCTCTGATTCAGGGGTTAGACGGTCGAACCAGCATGTCCTGTCCATATTTGAGAACACTCGAATGAAGTGTTCAAAGTACATACTAGTTTTTCTTAGTATTTATAAAATGTCTATCTTTGTGAGAAAATGGCAGATGGGTTCACATATGAAGAAATCTATATTTGATGAACAAACATCCAAGGCCCTGAAGAAGTGGCATATGGCTGTGAAGAAAAGGCAAGAAGGGAAAGGAGGAAGGTCTCCTAGAATGCTGGGAAGTGGAAGTCCAACTTCTTCAATGGGTTCACCTGGACCTACACTTCATCGTTTCGAAACTACGGGACACTCGACACGTTTCTCGAGATACGAGGAACACGGTGAATCATCGGACCTTGAGGCCGACCAATCGGTGCAAACGGAAAAAACTTCCAGCTTAATTGTGAGAGTTGAACATGATGGTGCAGAAAATCACAGGAGTATACCCCATAATGGAGAAGAAAGTAATAATGAAGATTTCTCATTTGACAAGCCTGCCCCACTTCATTGAGTTTTGCTAATTTTGTCAGCAGTTTACTATTTTCTCCTCTTTTTTCTGTGTATTCATTGGTAGGAATTGCAATTTGAAAGGAGCATGTTAGAATATAGTTCAACTCTTACATATTTCACAAGATTACTTCTACTGAAGTCTCAAATTCAGATTTGTCTCCAACATTGTGGACAGTTAATATATAGTTAATGAATCTTTCCGTTATAATACTCGAGTTGAAAGCTAATTTGAGTTAAGAAACGATCCGTACTAATAATAGTCTTTTAGAGTAGATTAGAAACTCAAATGGAGCGTGACCAAATGATAAAATGACTTGAGTTCTGATCTCGCAATATGAATGTCCGATCATTACATTAGAATAAAGATTGTTTTCTAGCACTACAATTGTATATCAATGATTTTTTAGCCTCTAATCATCATTGAGGAAAAATCGAAATAATATTTTCCCTCTTTATTCGTCCAAATGATAGAAATTGAAAAACTATATCACTCACATTGTAAAAGACACGTGTATTTATTTAAATATCATCTTTATTGTCCTCTCACACGTAACAAAACATAAATAGGTAGCATGAGATTTGGACTCGGGTCTTTTCTGTGATTCTTATATAATATTAATTGTTTCATGCTAAAGTTTAAGCTTATTATAGATGAGATGTGTATTTAGGATCGATCTTGAAATTTTTGAGGTTTTAGACAACTAATTATTATGAGATCATTAAATACAATTTTTTTTATTTTTTTCCAAGCATATAAACACTAAAAATATTTAAATAAATAACGTACTTATATTTAAATGAAGACAATATACAATCCAAAAGAAAAAGTAGCAAAATAAAACTACGAGAGATTATACTAGCATAATATTTGACCTTTTTACATTTTGAGATGCAAAATTAGTAATCAAACTACTCAAAAGTAAAGTAAAACATATTTTTCGATAGAAATCATAGTTAACCCATTCAATCTTTCTTATGACATGGTTGATCGAAGATAAGTTCAAATTTGAAAAACTTTTTTCAATGGAGATAACGATGATAGAAATAATCAATAATACTCTATAAGCAATTCAAGCATTTGAAAATCATTAGCATGCGTGCGAGATATTATTGTCTTAGAACTAAGAGTTGAATCTTGCCTCGACCAAAATCTCATTCTTCTACATTTCTTCTTTCTACATTTCATAATTTTGGTTTATGTCTATTTTTTTTTTAGCATGTACGTTAAAGTGATGAAAAATTTACACTCGTTTTTAGAAGTTTTATACATTGCCATTGCTATGTTAGTTAATAAAATGTTGAGTAAACGGTCAAGAAAGGTGTTGACGTCAAAATTAGCAAGGCTAATCTTAAGCCAACCTTAAGAAAAATGGGGATTTGTTGTTGAAAAAGACCACAAAATATGTTGAGAAAGTGTAATTGTGCTATAAGTTGTTATATGAATTCACTTGCCTTTTACAAGAGTCCTATTCAACTATTTATACATAGTTTCAGCCGAAATTACATCAGATCAATCAAATAAGCTACAGTATCGAGCTCGGAACTCGGGTCGTCGAATTCTCCTGTGATTGGTTGACGAGACTGGTGGCCATGTGTCAATGTTTTCCCCAGGTAATGATGACTTGCAAGGAGTTTTAGATTTAGGACTTAGAATTGGCGATTTTGGGTGATGATGATGTCACATGTGGCAACTGTATGCAATTGATAGGGTGATGTGACAGGGGATAATATGATATTTTTCTGAGATAACAACAGGACTGTCCGACCTGAGAGCATGGACCGAACTCACATTTGCCTGAGGTGGGGTCAGCGAACTGTTTTAACTTAGATCAGAATTCGGGTGTCAATAGTTCTCCCCCAGGTCAGTTCTGCCGTAGAGGGAGCTGACCTCATTGGTGTTTTCTCCAAGAAGTGCATTTATTGCCGTGCCAAGTGTAACCTTTTTTAGGGGGGTGAGCTGTAAGGCATTGTAAATGGCTTCTTCAGCCAGCTTGATTGTGAAACTACGTCGTTTTGGTCTTTTAAGCTTCTAAGTCGTTGATTTTTCCCTCCATTTCTGGATAGACGATTCAAATCGTGCCTTTTGGGTTTCCTTTCCTTTAAATTCCTTTTCGTGGCGAGTTTTTCTCCAAAAATCTTTTGGCAATTTCTTGGGTTCGTTTCCTATTTCTCGAGTGAGGTCGTCAGTCTTCAGTTCTCAGGTATTCTTCTGCTTTTTCTTCGCACGTTTCTATTTGCTATTATTCATTTTCTTCTGCATGAGCTCAGACGATTCTAGAGTGCATTCTTGGGGCAATAATCAAGAAGAATCCGTCCCGTCCACTCCTAGTTCTTCATCTAGTTTCCAGGAAATCTTGACACCCATCCCTATATCAGTAGTTAATCCGACATACCTAGGACATCCTGTGATTATGGAGTCAGGAGGTGAGGATTCGAGGGGAGAGGAAGTTGGGTTTTCTAAGGGGAACGTCTCAGGTAAATGGGGGGGCCAGTTCCTACAAGTCCGTGGTTTTGGGTGATATGCTGGCAAGCTAGCGAGCTAAATACGTTATTTCGAGCTCGATTATTATGATAATACCTGAGCCGTCTGACCGAGCCGATGCTCCTCCGGAGGGATGTGTCGCTCTGAACTCAGCCATTCTTTAGGCTAGACTTAGGCTTCCATTTCCTAGAATAATCCGTAAATTCCTTTCATTCTGGGGAATAGCTCCCACGCAGTTATGCCCAAACGGGTGGTGGACATTAATCGCCACCATCATTCTTTGGGACAGGCTGGGGAACCCCGAGCTGACTATCAAGCAATTTAACTCCCTTTTCACCTTTAAAGAAGATGGGAAGAACTCCGGTTGGTGGTACACCAATGTTAGGTAGGGATGGCAATTTATCCCGCCTCGCCCCGAATAGGGCAAAAAAACCCACCTCGAACTGGTTGGCGGGGCGGGAAGGAGAGCCTTGTCGCAGGGCGCGGGGAGGCGCAAGGCGATGATGCCCCGCCCCGTGAAGAAAAAAATTTAAAAAATAATTTTATTTCTAGACAATTCATCCGTTAAAAACTCATTTTGAATTTGTATTTTATTCTCTAATAATAACATAATTCAAAACTTTCAAAATGTAAAAAAAAAATAATAATAAAATAAAACGGGGCAACAAACAGGGCAAAAAGTTGCCCCGTTCCTACCCCGTCTAAGGTGGGGCAGGGCGCGGGGCGGGGTTTTGGCCAAACGGGGTGGGGACGCCTCGCCCCGTTGCCATCACTAGTGTTAGGTCGAGAACTAGAGGCTCACTAGTCTTAGATACTCCACCCAATCAAAAAATGGAAAGAAGAGTTCTTTTACGTGTCTGGGGAATGACAGTTTCATCCTTCCAAGGTGAACAGCGAGGATGTGGTCCCCCAGACTCTACCATTCGCTGTGTAAGTGATTTATAATTTATTCTTTGATGAGGTACGCACTGATGTGATATTGACTTTTATCATGTTTGGCAAATTATAAAAAGGAGACCTTAACTAAGGACATACAACGGCGAGCCGATGTGATAAGAGCGTTGCCAAAGAGGCAGAGGTCCTGTAAGTTTGTAATATCAAATTCGAAGTTATTTCAGGCAGGTCTAGTTTCAGTGCGGACGTCGAGCCTGGTTGACGTTAGGGCGGCTGCTTCTACTTCATTTGACCCAGGTAACAATTTATTTATTATTATTGTTATTATTATTATTATTATTTTTTACTAAGCACTGATTACATGTATCCATTTTTATCAGCTCATCAAGCAGAAATGTTGGGGTATAAAGTTGCGAAGGCCGCCGAGGCAGCCAAGAGGAAGGCAAGGGATGTCCTTCCAACGATTAACGTGGCTTCGGAGGAGACTGAAGAGGATGTCTCTCCCCTTAAGAGAAACTGATATGGGATGTCGGTAGCTTCACCACAACAACTCCGTCGACTTCTTTTCCGATGGGCGTGACCTCGAGCTCACCTCTAGTTTTACCCCAAGTTTCTGTGACGGCGCGGGTCCCTCCTGCTTCTCAGTCTTTGCCTACTACACCATCCAGCTCAGCTCGCTTGCAGGACAAGTGTCCTGATCTTTAGAGGCCAAGTTTGGATGGCCTTATGGGTCGGCGGCCTGAGATCTTGCTGGACTATCTCCGGGCTCCCTCCCCATTGAAGGAGTCCATGGCTGCTCTCCCTCCTCAGCTAAGGGAATCAGCTAACCTTCTTACAAGGAGTTGGGTTGATCGGGAACAGAACTATCTCGCATAGATGCCTGTTGGGAAAGTGGTAGTAACTGCTCAACTCCATTCTCATCGCTCTGTGTTATATATGATGGCAGTGGCTGATAAGGTAGTATTTTTTACTTCTTCTATGCTTAGAAAGTTGTCTTTATCTTTTACCAGCATTAACTCACCTCTTCTTCTACTGTTAGGTTAAGGCCGAAATGGACAAACTTTTGGAGACCAAGGATCAAGCCCTAAATCTTTATAACAGCATGGAGGCGGAGCAAGCTCGGTTCGCAGCAAAGGAAAGGGAATATGAAGACAAGCTCAACAAGATGGGCGACATGCTGAATGTGAGGCTGACTTCAGAACAGAAGCTTGAGGAGGAGGTTGAGGCTCTAAAGATCTAGGAAGACAGAGCCAACCAGAGGGCTGAGGTGAAAAAGAAAAAAGCTGAAGAGGAGAGAGCTCGGGTGGAAGAGCTGAGAGTGGAAGTGGCCGAGGAGCATTCTCACACTGTAGAGGCCATTAAGAAGGTGGAGGAGGCCAATGTAAGGGCAGAAGAGGCAATAAAGAGGGCAGAGGAGGCTGAGGCCAAGGCCATCAGGGCTGTGGAGATTTGGAGGGAATCTCTAGAGTTCAATGCTTTGGCCCAGAACGCCTATGTAGTGACCTTAGAGGAATTGATAAAACACATCCGAAGGGAGAGGCCAAAACTCGATGCTACCTTTCTGGACGAAGCACTGAACGAGCAGATGGAGGAGATAGGAAAATTATCTGAGGCTGCTGGAGTCCGGATATCACATGCTGACCAAGGCATTGAGGGTAGCATCCCAGTCTCCCAAAACCCCTAAGAGGTTTTTGTTTTGGAAACATTGTTTGGTATTTTGTGATGTGATTTGACTATTTGTAGTACATTGTGCACTTTGTTTTAATGTTTCATGACGTTTTGTTTGGAATGGATGATCGTTTATGCTTAGCATGATTTCTTTAGCAACGATCTT